TCGCCAAAACAGACGTAGAAGAAGAGGAAAATGACGATGAACAAGAAGACGAAGTAATGGAAGAAGAACAATTGGAGGTAATTTATTGACTAACTCTCATCCGTTTTCCTGATAATAATACTTTGGTCGATAGAACATAAATTTTGTCCATAAAACTAGAATTTTAAATAATAAACAATAGATAAGTGTATTTTATCGATAATTAGTACCTACTGAACGGCTAAATCTTGACGACCGTCGACACGATTTCCTTGTTTCAACGCAACGGGACAACATCTTAACCATCGACTTCTATGCCATTTGAATTTGTTTGATAATGTATTTGAACCCGACAGACTCAACATCAGTTCCTCTGTATCCATCTGTTCGCCCGGGATCTCTTCTTCACGTGGAGCACGTACAGCGTGGTCCCCGCCTTCCTCTTCACCTTCCAGTTCTTGTCCCTCATCTGCTATTTCTTCTTCTTCATCTTCTTGTGGAAAAAAACGTTGAACACGTGCCGCTCGACGAATCGGATAGACGCTAAGTCGCTCCAATAATTGATTAAGACAAACTGAGGGTGGAAGATTACCATCAAGTTCAACTAAATACGAACGATCTAATCCTGCCATATATTCCTAAATATTAATGGGACTTGATCGTACACAAGGATAGTAATATGTGAGACGTTATGCATACCTCTAATAATCGAAGTAATCGATTTTTGAAAGAGTCTATACTATCTTTGACATCTGGAGCCATATCTTCTGGTCTGGTGACAAGTCTTTCAACGATTTCGGTTGATAAAGGGGTGAAAAATTCATCCTACAACAATAAATGAAGGCTAAGACTTTCTCATTTTAAGATGGATGATTCTTCATCTGTATGAGATCATTAAAAAAATAAAAAATGGATTACTCAACAGTCTGCTCAGAAACATGATGGTTCAAGTATAATCTATGTTCCTTCGCAATCTAGTTCTCTTTACATGGTTATTCTGTTCACACCAAAGTATTATTATCAGGAAAACGGATGAGAGTTAGTCAATAAATTACCTCCAATTGTTCTTCTTCCATTACTTCGTCTTCTTGTTCATCGTCATTTTCCTCTTCTTCTACGTCTGTTTTGGCGA